CTCATCTGCATTTGTTGGATTTATCATCAGAAATGTGATTACGTGCGCTACATCATGCCTTGAGATGATTCATATGTCACGTATTAGTAGCCGGATCTTTAGTTGCATTTTGTATATGCATTGAATGCTATTTCTATATAAGATCATGCATATGTCTATAGCATATTATTTTTGGCTTATCATGGATGAATAATAGGAGAGCGTTTCCAGTTTTAGCATCCCGGTTGCGTGTGTTATTTTACTATGTCTGGTATTATACCATGTGGCTACTTGCTTAATTGAAATAACTCTATGATTATCGATGGATGAATGTTCTGTTGCTTGGGTTCGAATGGTGTTGCTTACTATACATGTGGGCTCAATTTTCTTCAAGTTGTTCATCTATTCAAAAAGTATTTCAAAATGCATAAAATCAAAGCATGCCCAAATAAGTGACACAATCTATACTCGTTTGCTTCATATAGTAATGTTAGCCTTATTAAAAATACACCAGAACATGAGCATATGGTGGATATAAAACTCATATCATAACTTAGTAGAGGCCGATCTTTTGACTGTGTGAGTCAGGGTGCTCAATTCATGATCTTCCCCTTTCATACCTAAGTTTCCGAATCGAGACAATTTAGTTAAGACGGGCAGTGGCCTATGGCATGAGTCATGGGTTTCCTAGTTTTCTCAAAAGATTAGGTGGCGACTTTGAGATTTAGTGATGTAGTCCGTTTTTGGCAAATGTTTTACAATAAATGGATTTTCTATAGAAGTTGTCGAATCTAGATTGACATTTTCTGTTTCACATTGTACGAATGAAACTAGATTGAAGATCGATAATCTGAATTGTCGGCCACGCTTGGGTACCCCCGAAAACATCCTATATTATGCTCGTGCCTTACGAGGCGTGAAGGTTTATTGATTTCCATTCCGTTCCGTTCCATCCTTGCGGCCTTACAAGGTGGGGGTTTATTAAATTCAAGTTAAGTTTCAAGTGTGTTTCCAAAAAAATTTGAAGTGGTTCCAAGTGGTTGTTCTCCTTAGATGGGCTTTCTATGCCAAGTTTTCCAAGTGTTTGTTCACTCTAAACGAGTTTTATATGCCAAATTTTGCAGGATTTTCCCAAAGTTTGATTTCCAAGGATTTGAAGTTTTTGAGTTACCATGTGGGGAACTCTGATCATGCAATTTTTCCAGTGCTAGGTGTGATTTTGAGAATATTTTTCCATTCCAGAAATAACTCAGTTAGGGAGGAGTCAAAGATTCATTTTCCATGCGGATGCCAAAGATACTGTCTATTGGGGATAGTTTTTCAAATTGCCTTTCATTCCATGCAATGTGTATGTGTACTAATGTAGTGTGATGATATTTAATAGAGATTGAATTGTAGATTCAAAATGATTTGCCTCAAAAGGCGTGCAAATGTTTGAGCTTAAGTTCAGGCGTACCTTTGTCCCCCAAAGGGTTTAAAATGGCATTAAGACTGCATTTCTCACACCACCACCTTCAAAAATCCTCTCTAACTTCCCTCTTCTTCTTTTGGTGCTCCCTCATTGCCCGAGGCTTGGTCTTTCATTTGACTTGTCGGATTTTGTACACTGCGGGTTTTGTTTCCACCAAACAATTTTCGGTCCCAACCATTTCTTGACTATTCTCCAATATTCTCCATTATTTTCTGTAAGTTTGCCAGCTTTTCATCTTCCTTTAAGTGCTTTCAGTACAATGCCATATTAACTAATTTCCCATCCATTTCCCATTTTTGTGCTATTGATGATGGATATGCCCTAATCTGTTGATTGTTTCTCTTACTTTTCCAAATCCGCCCATGATTTTATCATGGCTGACAGAAATGCGCCTCCCTTGTCCTCAGATGAGCTTATTGATTCTGATTGGGTCGAATGGCTTCGCCTTCATGCAGATGATTGTGACTCATATGTTCATAATTAGGTTGCTCTTATTATTTATATTTTTATTATTTTTTTGGATTCCATCTTCTAATAATTTGGTGCTTAACGGCTCTTGATGATTTCTTCATTGCCTTTTCTACACCACCCACGATCATCACTGATGATGATGATGATGATGATGATAGCGAACCTTCTTCTATCGTCATTGGTTCTGACACATCATCATCGTCCACTTGACGCTTTCGAGCTTCACCATTGCATCACGCAAGAAGAAGGAAGGCGGCCTAAGGGTTCATCTTTCACTTTCTTAGTATTGGTTGCTTTTCAATTTATTATTTTTATTTTTATTTATTTTTAGAAAACATTGTATACGGTGATTAAGGGATGTCTCACTTTTTAAAAGCTCCTGTACAATTTAAAATTATAGTGTATGCAATGAATTCTAGTTTTTGTCCATTCTTCCAATTTTATTTTATCGAATCGTGTCACTGCAGGAATTTTTGGCATTAGCAACGTTTAAAAAACGCCACTATAAGCCTTAGAAATGCCGTTAAAGGATATAGTGACGTTTATAATTTGCGTCGAGGATACGGCCGCCGTCTTAGGTATATGACGTTTATTAAACGTCACTAATGACTTTAGCTGGCGCTTTTTAAAATGCCTTAAATTTCAAACATCCGTTGTGTAAAAACCGTTATAGTTAAACGCTAATGTCATATGACGACATTTAGTGACGTTTTTGAAGAAACGCCATCTTTTCCATAATAGTTAGATACTGACATCATATGACGACATTTAATGACATTTTTTCAAAAACGCCATCTTTTCTCCTTATTTAAAAAAAAATAACACTGCTATTTATAGAAAGAAAAAATATAAATAAATTTCATTTGAACTCACTAAATCTATAAAATAATGCTTCAAAAAAAAAAAGAAAAAGAAAAAAAGCAGCAAAGTAAGGATTCAATTGTCAAATTGCACTAAATAAGGTCAAATCTAAACGTCAAGGATTCTATACAAAAACACATAAACTAAAAATAAACCAAACAAGTTTAATTCCTCTTCCATCCTCTTCCAGATTGCTAAAAGTTTACATTTGACAAACAATAGAAGAAAAATTGTAATATTTCCTACCTATTTACATTTAACCACAAACCATACCCCAAAAAATGTTACAAAACCATCAAAATATTGGATAACTCATTCATGGGCCAATGCTTATTTCAAGGAACAAGCTGGCCAATGCTCCTATAAAAATAAAAAAAATAAAAAATAAAAAAAACACTAGAATCAGTCATAAAAAAATAAAGAAACTAATCCAAATATATATTGAAGATGACTGTCAAAGCACAAAAAAATAAAACAAACGAAAAAAGTGACTACTAAAATTAATAATTCTGGCAAACTATGCATAGTACAAGTCATGTTAGGCTGCTCATCCATTTGCCATTTGTTATTCTGGCAAACTATGCATGTGCACTTTCAACACACTATCCACATGTTACCTATGTAATGAAACCATTATAATTCCAAAGCAATGACCATAATAGAACCATATCACCAAATCCAATCAAACCAGAAGGCTTCTGAGCCAACCTTTTATGACAGATTTCTATAGAAGAATAAAAAGAAAAAGGATAAACACAATAATACATATTCCAGCTCTGCTTCTTCCTCCCAAGATTCAAATTTCAAAGTATGGTCTTGGGCAGAGAAATAATAATCCCAGGTAATCCTATAAGGTGTTGCAAAAACATACAGATCCATACAGGTCCATTTGTTACTGCCTCCCTAAAGAGTTTCACCTACATTTGTATATGCTTTCCAAAGCCTGTGACGGCATGTTAAAACAAAACACACCCAGATAATGGCCAGATTTGTTGCAAGAGTGCTTGGTTTACACTTATTTAAGTTAAGCATCATTACTTGCTCCATCAATAAGCCTGTTATCCACTCGGTCGATCGTCTTAAATTACCAGAATCAAAAGTCAGATCATACCCCTGAGTAGAAGACTTTTAACAACTAAAGAGTTCCACATGCTTATATCTCCATGTCTAAAGTGAAACATGTTACTCTTTTAAACCCAATGTATTGTATGGTATAATAGGTAGTTAAAATGTGCACATCCGAATGCACATAAAGGAAGTGTTAAGAGAGGGCCTTTGGAGTTTATTCCCCTTTTGCAATTCACTTGATATTCGTGTTACTATTGTAAGACATATTGAGAGAGGGCCTACCTCATTTAAGTTATAACTTGACTCTCGAAGTCTCTCACTCCAAAAATTAATGTCCCAGTGGGTCAATTCTTCAGATTCTATAGCACCTTGACTTTTAGCAAAATCTTTGAGCTCCTGCATGTCTTTGATAATTGAAAGAACAACCAGGGAAAAGCATAATTAATAAAGAGGTTGTTAGGGAAAACTTTCTTTTTCGGTCATGAACAAGTCCATGACTAGAGCATCAACCAGAGAGCATCCACGATATCTATATGATTGATTGCTATAATCAGGTGACTGAAGAAAGATTAATTGTCCAGCTTACCATAAGGGCTATAGTACTCAACATCAGACTTTCTTACTCTTTCCAGAAAAACTTGGCTTGAATGTCGGGAAGCAATTTTAATTTGCTCGTGACCTTTGAGACAGCTTGACGCTTCCATTACTATTGGACTAGCTTAGGAACAATTCTCACCAAATATGGTCTAAATATTTGTTAATGCCCCTATTAGCATGAAGTTTCTTGGTGGATTTGATTGCTTATGTAGCACTTTTTCAATTTAGCATCAAAAGCATGTAGAAATTTGCTCATGAATCAAGAATCAGGACACCTAAATACAGAGTTTGGGATGGAGGTTCAACTCAAGTCAGTAGGCATGACTAGCATTCTCATCAGTAAGTTTTATTTTATGTTCTGGTCCAATAATATAACTTTATGCTCAGAGAGAGAGAGAGAGAGAGAGAGACTCACTGTTCTAGCAACAGATTTTGAAGATATGAAAGTGTTTGCTTTGAATCTGGACAACGCAAAATCACATACCTGAGCATAATGTATAAGATAAAGCTTGAGTTTATTGTTGGACTAGTAACAGGGAAAAGATTGTAACATTCATAGATGTACCTTCACCGTCCAATTTTTATCAACCAATAGATTTGGAGATTTAAGATCCCAGTGAACTACTGGAGGGCTAAGACAATGAAGATAGTTAATACCCTTGGCCTGCATCGAGTGAAATATCATAAATTAATAATACAACAACAAGTGTTAACAATAGAAAAGGTTCATAACAGTAAAGCCCACTACGAACCACATCCAGAGCCATGCGTAAGCGCCTCCTTTGGTCCAAAACTTCACCAGCATCTGCCCTATGGATGAGGCGGTATAGACTACCCCTATTCCACAAAATCAGGATTTGTGCAAAGTTAGCCTTCTATCACTTGCTTTAGATAGAAGTAGTTCAAATAATAAAATAATTCAGGAAGCAAAATGCTAAATTCACAACAATTTTGACTGCGTCCAGCAATCCCTCTCTCATTGCAGTACCAACCCATGTGAGAAGGATGGCAGTGGCACAACCATCAAGACTGCGGGACAATGCATTAGGAACTAAAAAATGTCTTTACCTTGGTAGATATTCTGTCACGATTGACAAATGTGACCGTTGTGTAACCGCACCCATGAAGAGCACAACATTAGGATGACGAACACGCTTCATTATCGCAACCTAAAAAAAGTCAACTACAACTTAAGCTACAGATAAACAAGAAAGGCACTGAACACTTGCGTTTTGGAAATAAATGGATTCAATTTATGGCTCAAAAAATATGTTGATACATGAAATCACATGCACAAATCTAGCACTTCAGATGGAAGTTCTAATTCAATCAACACCTATCTAATAACAGAGCAGATGCTCTTAATAGTGTCTTGGGAAGCAAATGAGTGTTCAGTCTACTAAATATATACCTCCCTCAAGAATTCCTTCAACTGATCATCACAAAAATCTTGGACTGTTAAAACCTTGACTGCAACATCCTGTAGCATGCAATATTTTTTTCTTAAGGAAGAGTGAATACGGTGCAACAATCAAGACCAATACCAAATTTGGACAGAATTTCTGTCTGGAGTTTCTCAATAGGACTCAATAATATCCATTACTCACTTTTATTGTACGTGATAAATTACTAAACCATAAACAACAGAGAGTCAATTTGATTTTGTATGCAACAGTTCCATCACACTATTAATCGCTTTCTCATTGTGCCAATCAGACAAACTCCTAATGTCGATGCCCTTATTGCACACATTCATACTGAATTTCTAGGTGCCTGGGATCCTTACACCTCTCAAGCCAGAGAAGAATATCTCAACATGAAACGTTGTTCTTTCAAGAGGAAAGATGTAGAAATGCATTAAGAGTGCATGTCTAAATGCTTCTACGCCCTCAATAGCATTGATGATGTCAATTTGAACCAAGCCTGGTTACGACAAATTGGGCACTCACATTTTATCCAATCTGATCCCTGCGCTTGAAGGAATTCCCAAACCAAAAAAAATCAAATACCATATGAACACCAAATCAATAATCAAATTTTATTCCAATCCAAAACCTCAAATACAGAATAATAATCAAATCTCACTCCAACCAATCACCAAATAAATAAATAATCTCAAAACTAAAACACCAAATACAAAGTCAATAATCAAAAGCTCATTTAAAACTTAAAACAATACACCGATGCTGGAGCATGATTGATTATTTCTGTTTTTATTTATTAGAAGTGATATATTGAGGGATGTAGTATTTTTTTAGAGAGAGGAGAATGTGAAATGTTAATTTTTCTTTTATATGATCCATTCCATATCAATGGGGGTGAATTGAAACGTGCTCAATTAGAGGCTCTCAAAATGAGAGTGATATGTTGGGAGATGTAATACACTCTAAAAATTAGTAGGTACTAAAAAGTCATATATATATAATTTTGAAAAAAAAAAGTCAAAATTTCTTTTAATTTAGTATATATTTTTTCATGAAAAGTCAAAATCATTTTAAAACACTTTATATATTTCCACTTCATAATTTAGTCAAAAAATTACTAAAAAAAATCACTTTCCAAAAGAATCCTGAGTTTGTTTTTTCTCATTATGGGCTATTTTCTCTCTTTTATGTTGGTAGTTGATATTGATTGCTAAGCTGAGAAATTTGTGTTGGTTATTATTTGTGCGGTTTGATGAAATCTTCCTCAATTGAAAATAAAAAGTAAGTAAAAAAGAGAGAAACACCTACTATATTATCCTTGTCATGTAAGTAATGTGGGATGTTATTTTGGTATGATGTTCCAAAGGCTATTTTAAAATCTTTTCTTAACCAATGTGGGATTATAACATATGTACCTACAAAATTAGAAATTTCCTTATTGTCTTTCAAGAAGTGTTTCGTGAAAGCTTGAACTCTCTTGTTATTGTCTGGTGAGCACTGACCAGAAGCCCTTAAATGAGAATGATTATTACATTCCATTTCCCGTATGCATCGCATTCTAATCATTTTTATTCTATTGTACCAAACAAAACCATTTTTATTCTATCATATCAAACAGTCTTAAATCATGTATAAAAAAATATATAGAACAGTCTTAAATCATTTATAAAAAAAAGTATAAATCATGTATAATCATTTTTATTCTATCATATCAAACAGTCTTAAACCATGTATAAAAAAAATATATAGAATTAATTTTATGATTAATTCTTTCTTTTCCCAACTTGACCTAATAAATAAAGTCACAGTTATTGAACTAATCAAACCACAAAGAGAAACAATAATGTCTAATCATGAATCTCATGATTCTTATAATATTCTCACTCAGCCAGAAAACAAACAAGAAAAGCCAAAAAGATGAGGATCAGATGAGTTCGGCAAGTTGAAGCCTCAAACAACAAGATGCTGGAAACACACACAAATCAACCACATAAACTCATGCAAAATCAACCAAAGCCCAATCATGGAATTAATAACCAAATTCAATATATATATATATATATTCTTTAATAAAAATCAAGAGAAAGCTATGCAATCAAGTGCATAAAAAGAAAACAGAGTGAAATCATACCTTCCCAATAGTAGATGCTGATGCTTGAAGCAGCCCATTTCTCTCCTCTAAGCTCTTCTGCAATCTATACATCTCCTCCTCTATCTTCTTAGCTTTGGCCTCTGCCTAGGAAAAAAAAAAACCAAAAATACACAAAATTAGAGAAGGTCCCACAAAGAACATCACTTTACAGAGAAGAACAAAAAGGTGAAATGAAATGATTTTATTTCCAAAGTACACACAGATGCAAACAAATATACATTGAAACATATAAACAAATATACAAATTCACATGCCTCTCTTGTTAGGGTTTGGAGAGAAAATGACTGCTCCTGTGAAGCGAGATGGCATCAGACCTCCTTGAGCTCCACCGCCAGCGACACCACGTTCCGCCGGAAGCTCTGCTTCTTCTCACTCAGATCCTTCAAATCGATATTTCTCGGCGCGCAGAACGCTTCGTTCCATGCAATCACCTCATTGTCCATGCGATTGAAGCTTCTCACCATCGTGATCTTCCACTCCTTCGTACTCGAATCCTTCTTCTCTATCTCTTCCTTTACAAGTTCATGTAACTGATCTCTATACTTCATCGCCATCTACAAAGAAATCAAACACCGATTAACACTTGTTAATGAAAAACAAAATAAAAACGACTTCCTTTTCTAATTTCGGATTTGCGATTTGTGAGAGAGAGTTTAGATCTAACAAAATGCAAGAGAGATCAAATTAGATTGAGTTCGGATTTCGATCAGATTAGATCGACTTTCTTTTTCAATTTTGGATCTGGGATTTGTGTGAGAGAGAGAGATCGAGTTCGATGAACAGCTAGAGTGAGAGAGATCGATATTAATCGCGAGAGAGAAGAGCAGTTTATTAGGGAGATTGTGTGTTACTTTTGTAATTTGAATGGGGTTAAGTGTCTGTTAAGTTAAACAAACTTGACTCATTAAGACCATCAACAAACATCACGCCTTGAAAAACGTGTTGACTATTGAGGTACACCACAACGTTTTTTAAAACATCTTGATTCAAGCGCCGTTATAGACTACTTTTCTTGTAGTGTGTGCTTGACTATTGTATTTGACAACGACCCTTGAAAAAATAATAAAACAAAATTACAACTTGAAAATGTTGTACAAACAACCTAACAAACCAACTTGACTCTAACACTAATGCTGGAATACCGCCATTGTCTCCAAAATGGTGTGCGTTGTGCCACGAAGCAAATAAGCCAAGCTGCCTTTTCAGCACATGGTGTGTGCACAAAATGTTCAGGTTTTAGGGTTTCACCTTCCTAAGCCGTTGTTTCTTTGTTTTGACCTATAGATGCCCCACTTTGCATGAAGGTTTCATAACTCTCTTCGAATCAGTCTTTGACTCCAAACCTTACTTTTTGTCTTTAGTTTTCGATCATGTCTTCCTATAACAGTTTGGTAACTTGGGTGAATGGCATAAACTGGCACTGAGCAAGCCAACTTTCGTAGCTACAGATTGAAATTCATATTTCCTCTTTGCTGGTTGAACGTTGACTTGCCATTCTTTTTTTCTTTTTTTTTGGTTGTGTGCAGTGGCTCGGTCTTAGAACTTGAGCATTCACGTATTTTGGTTCGACCATCGAGAACTTTGCTCTACTTTTGAGGAGTTTTGGGTTCTGCTCGAGTGTTCTCCAAGGACTGATTTGTGTGGCCAACTCCCTTGGTAGGTTATCCAAAGTTGCTTAGAGAGATCTGTGGGTTGCTTCCTAGTGAAGTTAAGGTTTGCATCCGAAATGGTGAGCTATCCGTCATCACTTTGATCGGCAGGTTTAGTAGTAGATGAGATTGGAGTGATCAGAAGTTTCAAGTGTAGGCGAACTGCCTATGTATCTACTTGCCTGCCCGATTCTTGATAGTGCCAAATAACGTGATAGCGAGCCCTACTTTGGTGGATGTGGCTCATATATTAAGGATGGAAAAATCTTTGTTGGGCTAGTCCTAACTGAAACTTTACTAGGTTTGGATGAAGTGCAGGAGGACAAGGCTATAGATTTTGCTGGTAGTCTGTTTATTGCTTTTGGTTCTACCCACCTCACTCAGTTTCTCATCTTTCACGTCTCTATTTGTTTATCTCTCTTTTTCTGTTTTTGCACACCCAGGTTACTTTTTCCCTTATCTCACACCTCTCTTTGCTTTTTCTCTCTTTTCTCCCAGCTATGACTAGAGAGATGCTCCCATTTTTCGGCGTAGAGGTAGTAGAGTTGACTTACATGACCTACTTCTTTCCTCATCAGACTTTGTGGCAATTTGGGCACGAGCAAGTAGCCTTTGGGTTTCACTTGAAGGCAAATGCCAAGGCTTGGCAAGACAGGACACTTGTGATGCCAGAAGAGCGTTCCAGTTGTAGGCTATCAAGAGCACACATTCAATGGCTAGAGCGCGAGGTTCAGTGGGTCAAGACACAAAAAAAGAGAGCTTTTAAGAGAATAAAGACTGAGTGACTCTGACTTGACCCACAGGCATCTTCACACTTTTAAGAGAATAAATCCACCAATAGCCTTTGGGTTTGAAATTTCTTTATTTCCACTTTTTGTTTATAGCATTTCAAAACTTTGTTGAATGGGAATTACTCAATTTTGTTTTTATCTGTTATGTTTGAAATTATTATCAATAGAACAATGTAATGAAGTTTTATTCCTTTATTTTCAAAATTTATGAAATTGATCAATCACAAATGAACGCAAATCACTCACTCTTTTTATTTAAAAACAACTTAAAGTATAATTTTGCAAACTCACTAATT